ATTACTTAACACATACAAAACCTCAAATAATACAACATTGTTATAAAAACTATCTAACATGCGCAATCTTAAAATCTTTGATAGATTCCGAGCAGACTTCAGATAAAATACATATTGAATTTACAAGATATTTTAATGTCTGTTTCCATTAACAATTTTTACCACTATTAATAGAATAGATAAGAATCCTTATTCGGAAATAAACGTTTTTGTATAGCATAATATATACTCTGTCCAGCAAGATAACCAAATCTGGTTCCCCCACGTGACACCCTGCCATAACTCATAAGCGAACCGGTTTCGATGGCAGTTTAACGAGGAGGCATGCGCAAACTGGCGCGTTCTCTCGCTGGATAGAGAATAAGATGTTATGCTACAGACTACTATAGTGTCAAATACCATCGAGTATCGGAATATCTATACTAAATGCTTGATATTTTGTCCAACATTCTTTTAAAAGGTACAATTTATAATTACAAGTTATTTTTGAAAATTTGATCACCCTATACGCTAAAATATTTTTGTATCATACACGTTAGAAAAATATTTTTTTCAAAGAAATGTATATTTTAAATGTATTTAGTATGTAAAGAAGAATAACTAGGGAAATTGTTGTTCAAATTTCGATTACAATAAACCAAAATTTTCAGAAAAATTATCAGAATTACATTTTGATTTAAAACATATAGGTTGTCATTTGAAAAACAAAAGTTGGTATCGCCACAGGATAATCCTTAAATGTTGTGAAAAATCTAAGTACACGAAAATATCGTATTCAATTACACTTCTTCAACAACACACTGATTCCAAAAATCAGAATTTTAATATATGCATAATTTAAGCATAAAAATGCGGTGAACATACTTAAAAAAATCACCCTATATACCTACGATGTAAGACATATTAAACTCAAATTTGAATGAAATTAGATATTTAATCTAAAATAACGGTGTTAATTATTTTGTTGCAATTCAAAAATATTTTTTGTCAGGATTTGAAACTTATACGTATATGTTATTATATTTTATATGACATTTTCAAAATATTAATTAACATTTTATGCTATTACCCACTTATACCACAAACTCATTCACACCATTCTGCAGTAAGTAGGTTTACTAAAAAGGTTATAAGGCAATAATATATATGATATACCTAATGTTATAATAATCAATAAATAAATAAAAAAACAAATATTTTGACCAAAATTAATTTGACCTACTAATACTTACTAACAGTAAAATACATTGTTTTTAGAACAATATAAATATATCATCAAATATACTTTTTTAATTTAGGCTAACAGACAATTTTCACTCAGATTCTTTTTTGAATGCAAATGTTTATCATATAATTCAATTTTAAGACATACTTACATAGCAAGATTTACTCTTCAACAGCTCAACGGATAGACTCATTCGACATTTCGACTATATGAAGTAGAGCGGTTACTTACTTTCACCATTTTTTCTATTAATAAAAGAGTTTTTGTACCATTCAAATAAGTAAAGTAAACTGTGATGATGTCTCAACTTATTTTAACAAAAAAGAGAATAAATCTATTTAATGTACATTTTTCATCAGATGATTTTTTGAAAATGTTTATATTTCTAAATCGAAATTCAAACGAATAGTTTTTAAGTTGTTTTATAGATCTGTGATGATTCAATACTTCTAGAAGTTTATATCAACCCATCACCAATTTATAATTAGTAAAAATTGTCTTAGTACTCGTATAATAAAGATCATAGTTCCAATATGAAACCATTTCAAAGACGATAATAATCATTACTATACCTACCTGTATACATTTTAATAACTCATATGCTATAATCGTTCAAATTTCCTACGAATCAAACATTTCAGAAAATCATTTACTTTACAATTTATGGTAAAAAGGTTGGATCTCGTTTAGAAAAAAAAGAGGGTAAGTGGATGTCGTTCTGCTGTACAGTAGGTTATAAGTTGGTCAATGTAATGGATAGTGTTAAATTTGAATTCAATGATATAAAATCATTGTATACGAAAAATGATTCTGAGTAAGGGAGGTTTGTTAGTCTATAATATTGCTTAGTAATTTAGTATATTTTATGATATTATTGTGATTAATGTAATTGATTTTATTAGTAAGCATATTAGTAGATTTCATTCTTTTGTGCCCAAAAAAATACATTTGAAAAGTCATTGAGTGTATAAAATATAATAATATACTTTAAAAGTTTCAAGTACCTACCCAAGAATAATATTTTTAATTTACAACAAAATAACATAAATCATTATTCTTGGTCATTTAATTAATTTCGTCCACATTTCAACATAAAAAACTAAAAAAAACTGTGATATTTTCATATAAAGATATTTTGGTTACAGAATAACCTACTTGCGTAGAACTTTGTTTTAAATGTTCAACCCTAAGCTATAAAAATTGAAATTTTTAAAAATTTTAAACTATAAAATTATTTCTATATTTTGAATGATATGAATTTTGTCAAATTTTAACTTTAAATGCTTATAAAAAAAATCATGCCTATGTATTTGTAATAGGTATGTTTCAACTGATATTTTAAATATATATCAAGTTTCTTATATTATATTTTTAAGTTTTTTGGCCCAACAAATACAATTTTATTGACAATTGTAGAAAAAAAAACTAAAAATTGAAAATATCCGTAAACAGCTTTCAACGAGTCTAAATATTTTGATACATTTTTCAATTATATGAATCAAATAAACGTATTATGGTTTTCATTTCAATTATCTATCTGCAGTTATTCGTTTTTGAATTACAACAAAATAAGAAAATCTCTAAATAAGAAATGGAGTTAATATCCAATTTTGTAAAAATTTCAACTTCAAACGCTCATAAAAAATTATTGTGGACTTACGCTCAATTTTTTGGTAAATTTTCACTAACAAAGACTTGTGAGGAATCTTGCATTACATTTCCAAGTTTTTGACCGAATGGACAACTTTTTATCGACATATTTTTAAAAAAAAAACAAATACAAATCAACATTTTAATATGCCTATAAATAGCTTAAAAAGAGTCAAAATATTATGAAAGTTATATGGCGTGTACAGGAAACGTAGATATAAACATTCAGTGAAAATTTCATGTATCTAAGATATTTTTTTAAAGTTACATCAAAAACAAAAATTGAATTTGTCGAAAACCTGGTTCCCGTAAAAATTCCCGTTTTTCCTGTCGCTTTTGAAAATAATTGGACATTTTAAACTTTGACCTCCTGATTGTAGCAACTAAATTCACTTTCCTACCAGAAAAGTTGCTGTTGAAGAAAATCGAAGCACTTTTACTGCTCCTTACAAAAATAAAAAAATAAATAAAAAAACACACATCATGGTAAAATCAATACATTCATCGCTTCGCTCAGAATCTAAAATAAGTTTGTAGGGCTTAAAACATTTCTATAACGGAAAAAATGATTCTTAAGTATACTTAAAAATTCCATGGTTCATTTGAACAAATTCATTACTAAGAGGTGGAGCATGGTGACCATGCTTGCAGTTTGGTGAATGGTGGATCCCTATCAACTGTATACAATATTCATTTTATATAAAATGAGTTTTTAATTTTTAATTTTTACCAAATATTTTATACGAATTATTATTTTTTGATTCTTGACAAAGATAGATTAAATTTACTGATTTGTAACAAAGAATATTTCAATGACGAGAAATATAAATTATAAAGGTAGAAGACACAAGAGGTTTACTTTTATTCCCAAGTCCGATCAAATAATTGAGATTATAACATAATAGCAGCAACCCTAAAAGCGTTTTTTTCTTATGTAGGCATCACTACTATTTACACAAAACTAAATTAAATTTTTCATCATCCTAAAATATAGAATATTATTACGACTCATCATGCGACGTCGAACTTGACAAGATCGATTTATCAATGTAAATTACCTACTACATTTACCGTTTATCCAAACTTTATTGCCTTAGGTTTTTTTTAAAATAAATATTTTAAAAACAATATCTATAGTACCTTTATAGATTATAGAGTGTACAAATTAAACTACTTTCAAAAATGTATATGTATACAAATAAAATTACAATAGTTTATATAATTATATATAAATGTAGGTAAGGATGTATAAAATATAAATATAATAATATAATAAAAATTAAAACTTGTAAATTACAAACAACAACCATAGAATTATTTCATTCCTCAAATATATTAATATGTATAACGTGTATTCATTCAATATTAAAATATAATAAGTAAAAATTATAATTTCTACTTGTAAAATTTAAAAAAAAAATACATTCAGTAGGCTTAACCAATAAGCATTTCGATTGGCTACTTTTATTGTTTTATGAATTCAAATTAAATCAAAATTCAGTCATGAATATAATTGTATCGAATAATTGTTCATTAATTTTCCTTAGAACTCAATTTAAATTACCAAACTTTGATAATCAAACTCGCATCAAAATTGAAGTAGTGTTGATAGCTAAAAAATATATGAATGTTTAAGGTAATTTATATTGAAGAAAAAGTTTAAAATACATTTAGTTGCCTCCTTCCCCCTGATGAAATATATACCCTTGTATATTGTACAATACTAAAATTCAGTGAACAACATTTTATTTATTCAATAGGTAAATATAAATTTAAAATGTATAACCTTAATATATAATATTATGTTATTTAATATAATACTACCATTTTTGAGGACATTATATACTGTAACTATTTTTAATGAATTTATTATAACACATTTTTAATGCACTCAATTCATAACTCTATATCAGTACATTCATCTTATTTGAAAAAAATTATAAGCAGCTACGTAAGAACATTAATATTACGATTATTGTATTATGTATAACAATATTTTGGACATGAAAAAGCTGGCTACTTATTAAGCCTGATTAAAACGAGTAATAGTTTATATTATTATGCTATGAATCTATGGTAATAGTAAGACAAAAACTAACAAAAACGAATTACATATATTGAAAAAATGACGACTTATCAACCAGAAGTTGGAGGAGAATATAGTACTGGGTACTTAAAAACACTTATAAAAACTAAAGAGTTACATAAAGATTTAGAAAAAATGGAGTTTCTATCTACTGTATTAACTAATCCAGATTTAAAATTCTACGCTCGGACTTCGGATACCGTGCAAAATGTCAACCGGAATCACAAAGTTGTACCAACATTAAGAAAATACAAATGAATATATACACATCAAATAGTAAATACCTTCGTCCATAAATATTTTATACGCATCAATATGTTGCCACAAAATCAATAAAAGTACTTAGTTAGTGTCCTTAAAAACTGTCTATTATTGTATAAATGTAAATAGGTATACTATTTTATATGTATATTACACAATACGTAATATGTACGGCGTCTTCCAATTTCTGGGTGCTAAAAAAGGTGGGGATCGCCTTAGAGCAAACACAATCCCCAACAGTTTTTTCACATGAAATTCGGAAGAGTCCGTATACAGTAACAACAACAACATGTGTACCTACCAGTTGTATTTGCATGTTGCAGGTGTATAATGTTTGGTCCTTTAATCCCCATTGCGATCCTTTTTTGTTTTGAAGTATTAATTATTCAAATTATTGTCATGTATTTTTTGGTTTATTACCAGCTATACCCATCATGTAAATATAATATTATACCTACATAAATATATATACCTTCTGCATAGTGCCAAGGACTCAATCCCCTAAACGACTAATAAACTGTCATAGGCATAATGCAGTGATTGTCGATTGTAAAAGCAACTGCAGCTATGCACAAACACAGACTGTAAAATCTATACCTAGTAAATATTACATTTTCACATTTACAATAAATGGGTATTTATTTGTTTTTTAATTTCCATTCGATGAACTTCGACCAATAGATAGGTAAGTATAACGTGGCTATGTATAACATTTTACTGACACATCGAAATCTGTAGTTTAAGTAAAATGTTTTCGATACATAACTATACAGGCTACGTACGATAATATATGGTACCTATATTGGCATATCATAGGTATAATATGTAGCATAAGCATCAAGTCTTAAGAATTTTGTGGGGAACATCGAAAAAAATTAAAATCATGAAAAACGTACAATTAAAAAATGATAAACTCACCTTAATTTATCTATTTTTTTTTAACATCTCATTTATAAAAATAATTAAATAGGTAATAATATTTATATTTTATAACCACTTAGTACTTACTAGAGGTAGAGACTACTATATGTAGGTATATGAATGAGAAATAACCTTTTCTTGGCATATTATATTGTTGAAACGTACACTGATTTTGGTTCAGCTTCTTACAAAATAAAAGGTAAAGTTTCTTTAACCAGCGTGTTAGCACGTCACTTACCCACTCATTAAATCTTGAAAATATGCTGACTTTTTTAAAAAAAAGTTCATAATTGAAAATTAAACTGTATTCCATAAAGAATGAAAATTGAAAATCATCATAAAATAAAAATAAAAACGGTATAATATAAGTCTTAAAAATTGAATAATAAAGGTTGACAGCATGGAAGGGGGGCTTGCAATTAAAAGCTTAATTAAAAACAATACTTATCGAGATAAAATAAAAACTGCTGTTCTAATAAGTAATAAATATGTACCTACCTACAATATATTTTCATTCAATTACGTCGTTCTTTTATTTTATTCTCGAAATCAGTCTTATAAAATGACTTTTATACTTTTATTACTTACGTAAAATTGTGTCTCTTAATAGGAAAAATAGTTTTGAAAGCAGAAATATTGTTGTCAGAAATTTTGTTGTGTAATAGAACCTATATTTATACGCTACGTGTAGGGGAACGTAGTAGGACGTAGGAGTACCTCAACTAAGTTATAGAAATTTTATAAAACCCCTACTCATTTTTTATTTTACTAATAATTATTGTGATTTAAAATGATGCACATTTTAAATCAGCCAGTTAGCCATTGAAAAACAAAATTATTTGTTGGCGTCTTCCATTTTTACTTCAAGCATCTTATTCAACAAATAATTTGAATATTAATAAAATAAAATATTTCTACGGTTCAAAGTTGTAATGCATAGTTGAATAAATGTAATGTTAATTACCGCCTTATAATATACAATAAATATTATCAATTATAATTTGACAAAATTAAAAAAAATTTTCTACTGCATACAATTCAGTATGATTTTTGTTAACTTCAGTATTGACTTTTATTCAGTTAACTAGTAAATGAAATGTACCTATGTAAACAATTAAAAAAAAAAAATGGTTTGCCGTTTTCACTGAGCCCCTATAAAAAATGGAGCCAAATAGCCCCTATTGTACATTCGGTCCGAGAAAAAAAAATGTTCAAAAGGTCTGTTTGTAAACCCTGGCCCGATTTTTTTCAGGTAAAAATAATTGATGTGTAAGCTCGCCTTGAATAAAAAAGTATGCCCGGATCTTCTCATAATTATTATATAATTACTAATTAGTGTTTACCTTATAATATTTTTGGGAACTATTAAACGCATTATCCAAAGGGCACGATGAAAAGGCGATTCTCATTATTCTCCAACAATTATTTTATTTTATTTTCATTTTCATATTATTAAAAATTACTAAAATCCATGTAAATATCATACAATTAAATACATTTAAACTTTAACAATTATTTTTTTTTAGTATACAGCTTTATAACGTAGGTATTCATTTACTGATATTTTTTTATTTTTATAGATTCTTTTGAAGCGTGATTTTTTATAATATTTTTTTTTAGTTTTGGAATTTTGGAATATAAATGGTTCACTGATAAATGTGTAGACTGTTTCTTTCATAGACGTTTCGGTTTGTATTTCTATTTTCTATTAGGTAGTTTGGTTAATATGTCGGAATATATAAGTATTTGGGTTAGTCGAGTTAATATAGGTACCTAATAGAATTAAAATGGGTTATTTATTATTTTAAGTTCTGTCGTCTTTATTACAGTTTATCTGTAAAAATTATGGGACCGAGTTCACAATACATTTTTTTATTTCCTCCCTGTAATAATTTACAGGCCAACGTTGTAACAAAAAAGGCTAGGTATAGTTATATCTGTTCACGAGTTGGGCTAATAGGTGGATGTTCCGGCACTGGATATTAAAAAATTAATGCATTTTTATACTACCATAGTATACCATACCTAGGTACCACATAGGTACAATATATAATAATATAATGTGCATACCTGGGTAGTAGTTACTAGTTACCTACATTTAAACATCTGTGATTGGTACAACATATCAATTACATAGTTGGTACTTGAATTACATTTTATTTTCACACATATGAATACGTGTACTATTATTTATTATTATACATTCTAAAAAATCTATAATGAATATGAAAATATTGGTAAGATATTAATACTATTTTTTTTTTATAGTTATTTACTAAATAAAATTTGAATAATCTTTTAAAAATTTATACTTATAAACTGTAATGCCGTTAAATTAGTGTTATTTTCACTCCTTTTCTCAACTGCGTTGGTGGTGTAATGGTCAGCATAGTTGCCTTCCAAGCAGTTGATCCGGGTTCGATTCCCGGCCATCGCATGAAATTTTTTGCCCCTTTAAAATCTATTATATATTTTAATATTCACCAATATTTTAATAAAGGTTTTATTTTTAAGAAGTTCTTCATTTAATGTATTTAAACTTAATGCGCGTATTACTTTTTGCACATCAGAAACAATTGTTTTGTATTATCTGAAATTAATAATTGTAAACTAAAACGTTAATATAATTGACAAATTATTGCCAAATTGGAGGTTGCATACACAATTACTTAATAATTTAATTGATCAAAATAGTGAACTAATGGTCTCTTAAACTTAATTTTCTAGCCTATTACTGGTCCGTTAAATTGAAGTGAACCATTATATTAATACTCACTTTTATGCAACCCGTAGGTAGGTAATACAAAATATTAAACCATGTAAAAAGCTTACCATTATTATTTCGAAAACGGGTAAAGTTTTTAAAAATATGTCTTAAACATAGGTATTTTGAAGTAATTATATTATAATAACATTTTTGATAAAAAATATATTTTTACTATTTTCATAGCTATCAGTTATTAAGTTGATTTTTTATAGAATGATAACATATACATAATACATACTTGCATGTTTAATTTTCTATCCTAAAGCAGTAAATTTTTTAAAAATATTCAAGCATATCAATTTAATTTTGAACGAGTAGTTATAATTAGTAAGTATTAATATTTTAGGTGAATTGATTGGAATGATGTACTTTAAGGGTGGTCTCAAAATGTTGATCCACTACTCCACACATTATCTTTAAATACTTAGGTGTAACTGTATAAGACGTGTATAACTAACTATTTCGAATTTAAATATTTGGTTAGGGCTGTCAAGTTGGCAGATGCAGTAAAGTATGAATTTGAGTAATGAAAAAAATATTGCACAGATAACTTCGACACAATTTTTGAAAGTCGAGACTTAAATAGTTAAATACATCACATCAAACTATCCGTCTTAATGTTACAACACAAAAAAATAATTTTATATACATTTTTTTCGAATAAACACTTACATTGATCATTTACGGTATTATAAAAACTAAGATTTTATTGATATTAAAATTGTACTTTATGTACTTAAAGCCTAAAGATGCCTACTTCTAAAATATGTAGTTATATATTATTGACATATTGTTCGTTAGTACCCAAGTTTACGCATTAGAGCATTACGTTAAATGTTTATACGACTCCATACATTTATTTTACCTTTTTGCCTTTTATACTGAATTGGTAACATTTTTGAAAGTTCCTTTTTTTATCCTTATAACACTTTTATTACATTAATGTTTTTTAACAAAATTTTTATAATATTTCACAAACTTTTAACCAAAAATTGTAAGTGTTTGTCAAATAAAAACTAAATTAGTCATGCATTAGGTATGTTTTTTATATTTTGTATAGAAACTTTAAATAGTTTAATATTTTTCTAGTTATACGAAAAATACATTTTAAATGGCTGAATTTTTATGATGATGTATTTCTACATTAATGTTATAAATTATAAAAAGTAATCATAAATATTTCAACACATAATTTATAATATTTTATCCAATCAGACTAAAAATGCCCCTCGTTCTATTAATTTGTAAACTCTCATAGTTTTGTTATTTATTACATTAG